TTTTACCCTTTTTTTTTTTTTTTGGTACCAGGGATCGAACTCGGGTCCTTGAGCTTGCAAGGCAGGCAGTGGAAACACTGAGCTAAATCCCTGGCCCACGGTTTCTTTTTAGAATGATGGAAATGTACTAGAATTAGTGGGTGATGGTTATACAACTATGAGTGTAATAAACTTACATATCATATTTCAAAAATTTTGTTTTTTAATGGTGCTGGGGATTGAACACATAGTTTCATACATAATAGGCAGTGAATCTCAATTTTTTAAAGATGATGTAGTCTATTTCCCCACTGCTAACATTTTAGGCTGGCCATGTGATTTGCTCTGTCCAACAGAATGTCAGAGATGTCAAGTAAGATTTCCAAGCCTACATGTCTCATAAATCCACTTAGAGACTAGGTGCTTGTGAATGAGAAAGCATGTGGTAGAAAAACAAAAACAAAAAGCAATACCACTATCGGAATATCAGATATGTTATTAGGTTCTCTTGGACCACCCAGTCCATGCAGAGCCATAGCCAATTACAGTCACATTAATAAGGACGTGTGAAATCAGCTGAGCCCAGCCTAAATTGCTAAACCACCGAATTCTGAATAAAATAGTTATGTTGGACTGAGGAAGCACCTCAGTGGTACAGTACTTACCTAGCATGTACAAAACCCTGAATTCAATCCCCAGAATGGAAAAAATAAGTTAAAGTAAAAAACAAAGCCAACTTCCTAAATTTCCCAAGCATTGTATGTTTTTTTGTTTTGTTTTGGTTTGGTTTTTTGAGATGAGAAGTTTCATTATATTGCCCAGGATAGTCTCAAACTTCTGGAATCAGGTGATCCTCCCACCTTAGCCTCCTGAGTGCTGGCACCATGCGTGTTTATTTTGACTTCCCCTCTCTTACTTACCTATTTCATTGCACTGTACTGCACTGCATTGCTGGGATAGGACACATAGCCTCATGCATGCTAAGCACATGTTCTACTACTGAGGTAAACCCCAGCCTCTTTTTCAACATTTTAAATAATGCTATAATGAACACTTTTGTGTGTATTGCCTTCTGGTTCTTCCTATAAAGACAAATTTAACAGAATACTGACTAGTAAGAGTCCTAAAAAAAGAAGTTCAAATAAATACTACTTAATAATGACTCATAAAGCTAGATTTTCAGGCCAAGCATGGTGGTGCACATGGTAATCTCAGCACTTGGAAGGCTGAGGCAAGAGGATCACTGCAAGTTCGAAGCCAACCTGGGCTATATAGTGAGTTCAAGGCCAGTCTCAACTACAAAGCAAGACCCTGTCTCCAAAAAAAAGACATAGATTTTCTTAAGAGCTTAAAAATCCTTTAAAATGATACACCCATGTCTGGCACTGTTATTCCTACAGTTTAACTGGTTTAACTACTCTGAATCAACAGCACTTAGCCCATCCATAGTTCTTTCAGACTTTACTAGGTCATGTTTCAGTCAAACGCTTATGTATTTCATTTGCTGGTGTTAACTATATTTTTTGGCATTTGTTAATATCTAAGATGATTCTTTATCAGCTTATTTTCACACACAGAATAAAACTATTGATTTGAAGTAAACATATTTACCTTTACCAAAAATCATACATAGATAAGCTGACACTTTCCAATGAAAGTAGAAAATGTATTTCTAAATTACAATAGTTGTAATAGGATAGTTATAAATTGTGATTTTTGAAAAAATTTTAAGTTTGAAAATAGGATTCATTTTCATTATATAATTCCCTTAAAGCAAGAATTATTAAATATTTACTTATTAAGACTATCAATAAAATGTTACAGTATTCAATATGGCATCATTCTTACTCCATCACAGCAGTAGAGTGGCTACTAGCAAAATTAAATATATACCAATCTCATATTTGATTTCAGTATCTTCCTTTAGGTTCTATATAGGAAAAAAACTCATTTTAAATTTTCAATCACTAAGCAGCTGTTAGTATTTAATTTTGGTGCGGGGGGGGGCAGGTACTTCGAATTGAACCCATGGTGGATAAGCTACATCCCAGTCTTCTATTCTTTTTTTTTTTAGTTTATTGGTACATTCTAAGTATACAGCAGTCTTTTATTCTTAAAACATTTTATTTTGAGACACAGTCTCCTTAAGTTGCTGGGATTACAGGTATGCACAACTATACCTGGCTAATATTTAACATGTTGTACAGACAACTTTCACTAATATACATTTCACTGACATAAAAATTCACCTAAAGAATAAGGAATCCTAGCCCTCTAATTTTCACAGTTCATGTTATATAGGAAGAAAAATTATTGCCCTTTTCAAAATGGTAACCATTCATGAGCAAGCAATGCCATAGTTGTTGGGCATTTGTTGTGCCCAAAAGGCAAAGGTAGAAGAACAAAACAAAATGGTATTTGCCTAATTGATCAAATGCCTAAATGAGCTTTTTCTTTAATAAAGGTAAAAATTTATACATAATATCAAGAGTGCTGATTTCAGCTCAGCAACAGCAATACAAAGGACAATCCCAGGATTGTACAATCAGAGAAGTATCTGGCAGTGAAAAAATAACTCCCACTTAAGAGATATTTTTCATAAGGGAAAAAGAGATATATGTGGGTTGACCTCAGACAAATGATTATAGTAGTGGGGACTTCTAAAAATGTATAAAAGACTAAATTCTTTACAGCATTTAAAAAAAAATTTTTTTTTTGAGACAGGGTCTCACTGTGTAGTTGAAACTGACCTGGAACTCACTATGTAGCCAAGGCTGGTCTCGAACTCACATAGAACCTCCTGCCTCAGCCTCCTGAGATTAAAGGGATTAAAGGGATTAGAGGCATGCGCCACCATGCCCAGCTAGCATTTTTTATTGAAAATAATAATGTATTATCTTGACAGAAGTAGCACTGTGGGGGTAACACCCAACAACTGACAGTCATTTTATTTAAAAATTTAACAAAAGCATCCAAATCAAATGTGATATTTAAAATTACTTTAGAGTTCTACCTTCAAAATCATAAAATGTATTTTCTGAAGAAATCAAAAAAACAGTCTAAGGCTAGGGGAATAGCTTAGTGGTGGAGAGCATGTTTTACATATGCAAGAGCCTGCATTCAATCCACAACTCCAAAAAAAGAATATAATAATAGTAATAATCCAAAATAGAGATACAGAACTTACTGCCTGTGCTTGCTTAATAAATTCAAGGATATCTTCTTTTAAAGCCTGATGAATTTTTGCTGGACCTTTATCATCCCAGAGACAGACTGCATGAACATCCCTATAAAAATAAAGTGGGTAAATAAATATTAATAATGAAATAAAAACAGAGACAAAATCATCTTAAATTCTGTATTAGTTGTATCTACTGAAAATGGTTGACCAAACTAATGGTGCCTGAATCCATTCACAAGATCCACATGTCCTTTATAAACTGTCTTATACATATACTTGTTTCAATTTTTATTTTCTTTTGTAGTTGTTTTCCTCAGTCTCTGCTACTTACTTTGTAAAGCTTCACTATGAAAAGGATGTCTCCATCTCCCAATCTCACTACCCTAAATGAACTGCTCTTAATATTTTTCTTGTGGAAAAACAAATATAAATTATTTAGTTTCTTAACACATAGATATATACAGTCTTCTTTTAAAAGAAAATTATAAATCCCATTAAGGCAAATCCCTTAGCTTCCTATATATATATGTTACTCAGTGACAACTGTCTCCCTTAACGAAACTCAAAAACAAAAGTTCTCATAAACTGATACATAAAAACTGTGAACTTATAAAGCTCACATTTTACCAAAAGGTAAACTACTTGGCTACTAACATATTAGAATTGTGGAGATGTTTTACTTTTGTTTCTTCGGTCTTTTTTTAAATGGCAGAAGCACTGCCATGTATGGAACAAATCCCTGAGGAATATTTTTTGAATGACTGAATTCTCAACATAAGGCCTTATCCTTTAAGTTTCCCTGAGCTACAACTTGGTAATTAAGAAATTTCTATAGATGTACTAGTATTAAATAGATTTTTATAATGCATCTATCATCTAAATGTCTCTTTAATTTTGAAATATCCATATATATCAACCAATATCAGAGTCAAAATCACCATCATCTCTTACTTGGTTTGCTGTAACAAAATTAAATCAACATGCATTGACTGCTTACTGGGTGTCAGGCATGGCACACTGACTCATGAGACAGTTTAGGTCTTCCAAAAAGCAGATGGGGGCTAGGGATTTAGATTAGTGGCTCCACTGCCTGCCTTGCAAGCGCAAGGACAGGAGTTTGAGCCCTGGTACCAAAAAACAAACAAACAAAAAAACACAAAAAGCAGATGGGATGACAAATGTAACTGATTTATTAAGGGAGAGACTGTGAGAGAAAATGGAAGATGAGATACAGAAACCTCGGTGAATTATAAGAGCACACAAAGAGGTCTAATCCCTGCAAGGGAGGGAAAGAAGGCTGGATGTCAAGAGTTATACACTGCAGGGCAAGTCTAGTAAATTCTGAATTACTCAAATCACTCGTAGGTACATGTCAAAAGTTACTTGAATTTCCTAAGGCAATGGTGTGTCAACAAGAATGGGGGTTGGACAGCTCCCTAAAAATCTTACCCAAGACTCAGACTATGTGCATGCGTGCGTGTGCAGGCATGTGCGCCTGTTATGGTGAAGCTTGAGCTGAACCCAGGGGCTCAAGCATGCTAAGCAAGTACTCTATTACTGAGCAATACCCCCAGCCCGTTTTATTCTATTTTGAGACTATATGGCCCCGGCTGACCTTGAACCTCTATAACTGACCATTCTCCTGCCTCAGGCTCTTGAGTAGCTGGGATTATAGGCATGCACTAACATGCTTGGCAGAATAAAACACTCCATAACACTGCATACTCGGAACGTGTGCTAACTGGAGTTTTCAAGGGTCAAGGTAGAGTGAATAAACACTGCATAATATTCAGAGCAATTTCTCTTTCTCCCTCTCTCGTTGACTGTTGTACTAGGGATTCAACCCAGGAGGGCCTCACACATGCTAAGTACGCATTCTACCACTGAGACACACAGACAATCCCTGCCCCATTTTGCTGGTTTTTGTTTTGTTTTAAAGACAAGGTTTTGCTGTGTAGTCCAAGCTGGCTACACACCATCCTCCTGCCTCAACCTCTCAAGTGCAAATCACAGGCATGTGCTATCATGTCCTCTTCCCTACTTGTTTCTTAAATTGTAAGACATGTGAATAATGTGTTGAATGTGGTAGTTGTTTTTCATTGTTGGTTAGTCTTTGTTAATATAGCATGTAGAATAATGTTCTCTGCTTCAAGTACATTTTAAAACAGAAATTTTTTTTTTTTGTACCGGGGATTGAATTCGGGTCCTTGCGCTTGCAAAGCAGGCCACTGAACCTCTGAGCTAAATCCCCAGCCCTGAAAGCAGAAATATGAATAACCTTCTACCTGCTATAGCTGGTGGCATCAATACACTGTTTTAAAGACTCCTTGATCTCCTTAGAGTATCTAAAGCACCTTGGAGTATCTCAATATGTATTCCTTCTAGGTAGAAGGATTCATTCCTGTCTATCTTATCATGGTATCATACAGGTTTTAAGACCTACAGTAATTAAAGCCTTTCTAAATTTTATTTTATTAAGTAATTTTAGAGACTCTCCTGAGTTACCCAGGCTGGACTTGAACTTGTGATCCATTTGCCTCTGCCTCCCAAGTAGGTGGGATTGCCACCACAGCTGACCTGTTTTGACCACATTAATCGTTAAAATTTAGGTTGCCTTATATTTTTCTTAATGAGATACTAAAATCATGCGCTGATATCAACTACATTGATTATTTGAGATTTCTCCCCCTTTTCCCATAATCTGTATCACTATTTCTCAGTTGGCATGCTAATAATTTTGGTGGTATAAGAGATTGTCCTGGTTGGGTGTGATGGAGCCTCCTTGAGATCCTAGCTAGGCAGGAGGGAGGTTGAAACAGGAGGATTGCAAGTCCGATGACAATTTGGGCAACTTAGCAAGACCTTGTCTCAAAATGGATAGTATTTACTAGGACTTTTACCTATTGTGCCTCTGGAAAAAAGGAGACATGAAACGAAGGAAATCTTCAAATAGAAAAACATTTTTGGGTTTTATTTATTTATTTTTGGTAGGGGAAAAAAAATTTTTTTTTTTCAGTTTTAGAGTTGTCCCCTGTGCTATTTCCCTTTGCTGATTTTGCTCTTTATTTGTTTGTTTTTTGAGTCAGGGTCTTGCTATGTAGTTCAGGATGGCATTAAATTTGCTATATAGCCCAAGCTGGCCTCAAATTCCAGACTCTTGAGTATTGGGATTATAGGCATGCACCACCATGCCCAGCCCCTTTGCTGATTTTGACATGTGTTCTTTTACTATAATAAATAATTGCGAATATATATACACAGTCCTGTGAGTCCACCTAACAAACCTGAACCTGGTAGAGGTCTTGGCAACCCACAGAACAACCATTAATTTTAAAGAAATAAACACCACCTAGAACTCTACACTCCATAAAGGTGTAAAAACACATTCTCAAAATGTAGTTATGTTAGCAAACAGAATGGATTACTTACGAAAACAGATCAAACCACTGCTGTTTTGTAACAGATTCCTGGCGTAAAAGCTTCAAAACAATTGGACGCATAAAATCCCACTTGTCTTCAAACTGAAGAGAGCCTTTATTCTTTAAAAAAAAAAAGAGAGAGAGAGTAGTTTAATTTAAATGCAGTTAAACCAAAATCAAAAGTGCTCTATAATTTCTTTAAGAGAATGCAGGGATTTATGCATGTATGTAAAGAAGTACATACATACTGGGGACTGAACCCAAGGCTTTCTCAATAAGTTACATAAGTTACATCCCCAGCCTTTATTTTGAGATAGGGTCTCACAAAATCATTAAGTTGCCCAGGCTGGGCTTGAACCTGTGATCCTATTCTAGGTGTGTACCACCATGCCTAGCTACCAGACTCAAATTTAAAAGGAAAGAATTTTCCATTATGGAAAGGCTTAACTTTATATCAAGAAATCATAGGAAAACAACTATAAGAGAGAAAAATTGGAGCTAGAGCTAGAGCTCACTAGTAGATCATCTGCCCATGTATGAAGCTCTAGGTTTGATTCTCAGCACAGGGGGGTGAAGAGGTGGAGTTGGGGCTTTAACAGTGTGTGGTGGCTCATGACTCTAATTCCAACCCTTGGGAGGCTGAGGCAGGAGGATCACCAGTTCAAGGCCAGTCTGGTCGCAAAATAAAATTTGGTGAAGAATTTAGTCTTGGCCAAAGACAATGTCAGGTCTTTCCTTCTGGCTTTTGGAAGACACTATCTGGGCACTTGAAATATTATGTCTCTTAAGTGTTTCTCTGCCTGGGAACCTTGGATCATACTGGATATACTAACAATGTAATTTAGGGAGGGGACTTTCCAGGCCTATGTGGTCTGAGAATGAGAAATGTTAGGTCATGCTATCAGTCAACCTGGAGACTGAAATAACCTACATGAGCAATCAGTCATGTCTATGTGAAGAAGTTCCATAATGACTTGGGACAATGAACGGTGAGTGGGCCTCCCTGTTTGGCATTACTTGTATATACGGCCACACATTATGCCAAAAGATAAACATGTGCTGACCACACATGGAGAGGACAACCGTGTCTGAAACTCTCCTAGACTTTGCCCAATGCTTCTTTTCCTTTGGCTGATATTAATCTGAATCTTTTCCCTATAACAAATAGCAACCATGATTACAGTTTTCAGTATATTCACTGAGCCTTCCTAACTGGCATCATTAAGTGAGAGGGTGGTAATTATGGGGACAGTGGATCCTCTAATTTTACAGTTGTCCCAATCTTCTCAAAGAAGTACAGCTGTCTCTTGGTACCCACAAGGGAATGGCCACAGATCCTCCACGGATACACAAATCTGTTGATGCTTAGGTCCTTTATATAAAATGACAGTGTTTGCGGCCGGGGATCTAGCTCAGTGGTTCCGCCGCCTGCCTCGCAAGCACAAGGACCTGAGTTCGATCCCCAGTACCAAAAAAAAAAAAAAAAAAGGAGTGTTGGAAAAATATCCATCTTATTTCATAATGCTAACGAAATCTTGCCACCAAATTAGAGAACAGCAAAATAATTGGAAATCCTAGGACAATCTCACCACAGAACATAGATGCAAAAAGCTAAACAATAAGTGAATCAAACAAGTGGCAACTCCAAACAGTGCTTCCTCGCCAGGCTTGCTCGCACACATTTGTGATCCCAGCACTCAAGAGGCTGAGGCAGGAGGATGACACAAGTTCAAGGCCAGCCTGGGCTACACAGTGAGTTCAAGTCCAATCCAAACTATACAGTGAAATCTTGTCTCACAAAACAAAATAAAACAAAACAAAATAAGTGTTTCCTCATAGTCACACACAGCTTATCCCAAGAATGTGAAAGCAGTTCAAAATTAGAAGAAAAAAAAATCACCAAGTATATTTCCAAAAAAGAAAAGGAGGAACACTTCACATGTGTTATTTTCAACTTAAATATGGCTATGTGACTTGCTTTTGACTGATAAAGTTCAACAGAAGTCTCTCTAATACATGAAAATTTGTTTTGGTTCTGAGGACTAACCAGGGTCCTTGTACATGCTAGGCAAGCACTCTACTCCTGAGATACAGCCCCTAGCACTTGTCACAGATTAACCTGTTTATGTGCTGACTGTATGGAATCTGTAAAGTCCCTGAAATTATAATCCTGAAACACTTAAGATATGGTGTGACAACCTACAATATGGCATAACAACCTACATCAAAATAATCTGGGTTAGTGATTGATTACATAAATAGATTTCTAAAACCTATCACAGACCTACAGGTTAGAATCTCTTAGTGCTCAAAATGGATACATTTGTCAATATCAAATTCAGGATAAAAAGATGTGTGAGGGGTTGGGTGTAGTGGGACATACTTGTAATCCCAGCTACTTGGAAAACCGACACAGAAAGATCACAAATTTGATGCCAACCTGAGCAACTTAGCCAGATCTTCTCTCAAAAAATGAAAAGGAGGGCTGGGGATTTGATTTAGCTCAGTGGTTCTGCCACCTGCCTCTAGGTGGAAGGTCCCAAGTTTGATCTCCAGTACAAAAAGGTGGGGTGGGTTGTTGTTCAGTGGTGAATAACCTGGGTCCAATCCCAATACACACACACACACACACACACACACACACACACACACACACACACACACACACCAGGGGCCTATGATAGAGGCTGGGATGTACCTAGATCAGTGGTAAAGAATTTATCTAGAAAGCATAAGCTCCTTGGTTCATTCCCAGTACCAAAAAAAGCAAATGATGCATCTTGCATCCTCATAGTTCATCCTAAGAGTTATTACACTGCCTTGCTGTAAGTTCCTGCATTTATCAGATAGTGTTCTTTCTTTTTGATACCAGGGATCGAACTCAGGACCTGAAACTTGACAGGCAGGGACTGTGCTGCTGAGCTAAATCTCCAGCCTATAACATGGTATTCTTAATATGAGGACCCATGGAAGACATCCACTCAGAATTCAGTAGCAGGATTAGTTGTGCCTCTTCTCCTCAGCAACTAGTGGATCATGTAAGGTAGCTTTTGTTCTCCTCAAAGCATCAGCTAATGAGAACTTCACCCAAATTATTCAAAATCCTGTCATTTATGCTTGTGTACTAAGTTTATGCCTGGCTTCACATTACTTTTCCTACTATTATTTTCTATAATTCTCATTTCTTTATTTACTGTTCCCTCTTAATAAAGAGTGCACAAGTAAACATAAATGAATTATGGAAAGAACTTATGTTAAAAATTCTTTACTATGGCAAGAAAAATATCCTCTAACAAGAGAATATTTTCTAATTCCAGCTAAGTCTATTTCCATAAACACTTTGGCAATTTATAAACTTAAACAGTATAAATTCTGCAATTAAAAATCAAAACAAAGCTGGGCATAGTGGTATATGCCTATAATATCTGCACTTGGGAGGCTGATGCAGGAGGATCACCTTGAGTTTGAGACCAGACTGGGCTATATACTGAGTGCAAACCAGCACAATCCCCCTCCAATCAAAATAATACGGCAGAGGTAGCCAGGTACTGTACTTGAGATAAACAATGGTTGGGCTCTGAAATCCCAGATGTGGCCAGGTAACAGAAAATAGTTCTCTTGTCTGATGAAAAAAAGCTTTCACCTAATACTCAAATAAAGGAGGAATTTAATAATTGGATGTTTTCTATGGAACTTTTAAAAATAGATTCCAAAATGATGTCCAAGCAGTTCCTTGACCTAGTTTTTATTAAAATGAAAAGTTTCTCAATAAATTATTACTCAGCAACAGGATACTGAATGAACCACTTATCTACAAAGGAAAATGCAATTATTAATAAGCAGAAGAATCTTCAAATTATGTACCCTGAGTTATGAATGTCTTCACTAAATGAAGCTGGTTTCCTCTCTATTAACTTGACATCAAGTTTCTTCACATTAACTATTTCACTATTACACAGAAGAGCAAGTGGTCGACCAATTGCTAGTATGTCTTATATACTGGCTCTTTTCCACCAAGAAGACTTTAGCATTTGCCATGTCCCTGCCTCTCTATTCTTCACTCCCTACAGTATAACTAATTCTCTCAAAGGCACTCTTCTCAAACAACAAATGAGCCATGAAGAGGCCAGGTGAGAGATGATGATGGGTAATATCTGGGAAAGAATATTCTAGGCAGAGAAAGCAGCCAAGGCAAAGATCACAGGTAGGAGCATGTTTAATGTAATAAAGCGAGATCAATTAAGTGGAAGGGCCAGATAAGGCAGAGAAGTAACACACCTTACTGGACATTACTGGGCTAGATCTTTAGTGTACTGAAGGCCATTATAAAGACTTTGGCTTCTATTTTGAGATGGATAGCTATTAAAAGAGACTGAACAGACCAGGTGTGGTGGCACGAACCTGTGATCCCAGCACTCTGGGTGGTTGAAGCAGGAGGATCCCAAGCTGGACTGCAGCCTGAACAACTTAGCAATTCAGTGAGACCCTGTCTCAAAAAATAAAAAAATGTGCCAGGAATGTAGCTCAGTAAAAAGGCCCTGGGTTCAAACAAAACAGACAAACAAACAAAACTCTTTTTACTATGTTAACAATATGTCACAAAAGGTAAGAATTAAAACTGGATTTAGAAATGGAAGGCAACATGGGAGACGACAGTGACTTGAACTGAAATGGTAGCAATGGAGGTAAAAGATAGTGAGATATGTTTAGATTTTAGATATTTAAAAGATGGCACTAACAGGATTTCCTGGTAGTAAGCTTTTGGGATGTAAGAAAAAGGAGTGAAGTGTAACTTTAAAGGTTTTTGTCCAAGAAGTACAGCATCACCATCAACTAGAATGGGAAAGATGTAACATCTTAAGGAAACCTCAGAAGTTCAATTAAGATGTGCTACAATTAACATATCATGTAAAGATGCTGAATAGGTAGTTCATAAAACTTAAAAGGTTAGTCAGGAAATAATAATGTGGAAATCACCAGAATACAGATGATTTGAAAACACGTTACTGGTTGAGACAGAGGAGGGCAGGGAAAGAAAACTAACAAGGGGGGCCGAAAGAACAACGAGTGAGGTAGCAAGAAAATCAAGAATATGGCATTTAGGAAATCAAGTGAATAAAACATATCAGTAAAGAGATAGTGATCAACTTTAATAACTTCTCATTGATAAATTAAGATAACCACTGAAATAGCAATAAAAGCTTACATTCACATGGTTTCTCATGAGAAACCCAAAATATAAAAAAGAACAAAATAAAAAATAGGTAATAGGAAGTAAGGAGGGATTGGGAATGCAGCTCAGCAGCACAGTGCCTGCCTGGCAAGAGTGAGGCCTTAAATTCGATTCCTGGTACTCCCCTGCAAAGGTAGTAAGGAGATCTTTTTCGTATGGAAGGGGATCAGGAGATGGAGGGTGGGGAGGGAAAGGGATGAAAAAAGAATTTAAGGTGTGTTATGTACATGTACCAACTCCACCTGAGGAATGAAATAATTCCTCGAACATATACAATAAGAGTAAAAAAAATTTGTTTAAATGAAATAGCAATACGGAAATCACTAAGACTTTGTCAGTGTAAGCTTTTTTAAATAGTGTTAAGAATAAAAGCCAGAGTGAAGAAGAATTGTGAAAATGGGAAGAGAAAACTGGGGCGGGCATAAATTACTCTTAGTAACTTTTCCTGTATAAGGGAGCAAAGAAATGATATGGTAATTAATAGGATAAGAAGGGGGGGCAGAGGATTTAGCTCAGTGGTGCCTCACCTGCTTTGCAGGCTCAAGGCCCTGAGTTTAATCCCCGGTACCAAAAAGAGGGGGGATGAGTTGAAGGGGATGAGAAGAAACAGTATTTTTAGAGACAAACGTATTATTTTGTGCTGCTTAAAATATTCCAGCATTCAGGAAACTGAGGCAAGAAAAAAATTCAAGTTCAAGGTCAGCCTGAGCTACACAGCAAGTTTAAGGCGAATTTGGAATACAGTCAGACCCCGTCTCAAAAACCCAAAAAGAATATTCCAGAATATAAATGAGATATAATAATAGACATAATAAAAGGACACTGCAGGAGAATTTAAATTGCTGTGGGTAGTTGAGAAGTAAATGAAATCAAGTGCATAGTTACAGAAACAGTCTATATGCTAAAGGAGAGGCAACAGTATATAGATGCAGATGTTGGTATTAAGGCAGATATGTTTATGACTCTGAAAAGTTAATTTCTTGTTGCTTTGATTTCTCAAGATGCAGAAGAAGAGGTAGGAAAGATGATGCTCTAATTCTGAAAGAAAAGATGTGAATTATACATCTAATAAAATGAAAGAAGGGCTGGGGATTTAGCTCAGCGGTTCGGTGGCCTGCCTCGCAAGTGCAAGGATCCGAGTTCGATCCCTGGTACCAAAAAAAAAAAAAAAAAAAAAAAAAAGAAAAAAATGATTACAGACATGCAATATGATTGGGCTTGCTTATAGTTTACGGTCATGAATTTAAAGCAAAAATAGCATAGTTGTATATCTGAGAGTTTCCAAAAACATTCAGCTGCATAGGTACTGGCCAGAGTTAGGAAAGACAGATTTAACCAAAGTTGTAATTTCCCCAAGTGAATGAAACAAAAAAGGGGGAAAGGAATAAAAACTGTATTGAAAGAAAAAAAGTATATTGAAGGGAGTGATTATGACTGAAAAGAGAATTTATGCTTGGTAAGAGGATGAAAAAGAACATCAAGACAGTGACAGATAGAATTCTGCTTCCAATGATGAAAGCATAACAGCAAAAGCATTTCCCTTCCTGCCTAAACAACTAGAAAGCCAAAAGGCAAAGCAGGACAGTGATTCCTGAAAGAAGAAAAGCAAAAGAGATGAGCCCTATAAATGCCCAAACATACTGCTTGGAGAGAATGTCCAGGCTTCAGCGCACAAGAGGGGGACGGGAAGGGAGGGGAGGGAAGGGAAGGGAAGGGAAAGGAGGGGGGCACAAAAAGGGAGCTCTGGATATCAGCAGAAGGAACCCCTCAAGCCTTTGGCCGAATACTGACCTGTACATGTATATGAGAAAACTGAGACGGTGGGGGGGATTTTTAAAAGGAGACAATAATTACCAGTGTGGCTGCGGATGTAGCTCAGTGGTGCAGTGCCTGCCTGGCAAGTGTGAGGCCCTGAGTCCAATTCCCAGAACCAAAAATCACCATCATCATCATCATCATCACCAGTGTGCACAAAGAACTAGAATTAGTTTGTGTTCCCAATTGCCAGAATAAAAACACCCCTAAAATGCCAGAAATTGGGTAAAGTCCTCAGTAGTGCTGAAGCTACAGCAGGGCTGTGTACTTAGGATGCTAATTGTCCATCAAAGGTCCCTGTGTTAAAGGCCTGCTCCTCAGAGTGGCACTACTGGGAGACACTGTGGACCTTAAGATGGTAGGGCGTGTGACAGGTCCTTCGTCACTGGGTGGATAACCTTGAAAGGGACTGTGGGACCCCACACCCTTCAGCTGCCACCTCTCTTGCTTTCTAGCTCGGGAAGAAAGTGGTTTTACCATGTCCTGTGCTCTGATCACCATGCAACGCCCTCACCACAAGCCCAAAGCAGCAGTCAGTCATCTGATCATGGACTGCAACCTCCAAAGCTGTAAGCCAAAATCAATCCTTTCTTTTTTATTTTATTTTTTTGGTACCTGGGATCGAACTCAGGACCTCATGCTTGCCAGGCAAGCACTGCGTAACTGCGCTACATTCCTGGCCCCCAAAATAAATCCTTTCTAAATTCATTATTTCAGGTATTGTTACAATGATAGAAAACTAACCAAGACAGAAACCCAAAGTAACCCTCTTTTAAATATTATTCTGGATCTCTAACAAAACTTTAAAAATCAAACTGATTCCAAGTTACCAGAACTGGATTTTACCAAATCTGAAAACATCTTAAGGAAATTTTAAAAAACCCATCCCTAAACAAAAGATAGGTAGGTGTGGTGGTATGGGCCTATAATCCCAGCAGTCAGGAGGATTGCTGCTATTTTGAGGTCAGCCTGGACTACACAGTGAGATCCTGTTCGGAAAAAAACCCAAAATAAATAAAAATAGAAAGTAAGGAGGTAGATCTTTCTCAAAGGGGAAGGAGATCAAGAGATGGAAGGTGTGGGGAGGGAGAAGATGGAAAAAGAATGAAAAAAGAATGAATTAAGATGTTATAAAGCCTGGGATTTGGCTCAAGGTTCTGCACCCTGCCTCATAAGCGCAAGGGCCTGAGTTCGATCCCTGGTACCACAAAAATAAATACACAAACAAAAAGATGCTATATGCATGTAACAACTCCACACAAGGAATATAAACATTATGTATTATAAACATGTTCCAAAAAAAGGATGATTAAAATGTGTTATGTACATGTACTAATTACCCACAAGGAGCATTATGTACTACAAATATGCAATAATAAAAAATGAAAAAAAAATTAAAAACCAAGTGGGCATGGTGGCACACATTTGTAATTCCAGTACTCGGGAGGCTGAGGCAGGAGGATTGCCACAAGTTAAAGGCCAGCCTGAGTCTCATGGTGAGTTCAAGGCCAGCCTGGACTACATAACAAGACTCCTTTCAAAAACAAAACGAACAAAACAACAACAAAAACACCCAAATTAAAATGAGTATCAGGAACCTCTGGAAAGCATCAAATGATCTAACACAGGTAAAACTAGAATCTTGGAGTGTGTGTGATTGTGTGTGTGGGGGTGGTACTTGAAGGAAAAAAAAGGCAAAAATGTCTCCTAATTTGATGAAGACTATAAATACATAGCTCTAACGTATTAAACAATATAGAATGAGTGATTTGAAGACTCTAGTAATGAAACTGGATGAAATAAAGGCACTAAAAGGAATGAGAAAGAAAAAAAGAGGGTAATAAGAGTAGGATCCTTGAAGCTAAGATCATCAAATGGTAGAATTTAGCAAAAATTCCACCTTTATGCCAATCCCAAGTGTCAGAGAGAATATATCAAACTCTTATCCAGCTGGTTAAGGGTACACTAAATGGCCATTTTAGAATACTATTTAGCAATATCTAGGAAAGTTAAACATAAGCATACTATATGATTCAGCAGTTTCACTCCTAGATGTTACCCCACCCTTATCTTGAATTTCTCCTCCTTCCTAATCTTGTTTATCGTTGAGGACAGGAAGCCTGTAGCCCAGAGGTCAAATTCAGGTGAGCTGGCCAAAACTGGCAGATCTTACATGGCTGCTGCGGTACCCAGCAGACAACCTCCAATTTCTTTATAACGACATCTACATGTTCAATGACACCCTCCTTTCAAGGTCATGACACTGGACAACTGCCATAATGACAACCAGAAAGAACCATACAAGGAGCATTCTGTCCATTCCCAGAAAAGACAAAAATTACTTCCTTTCTATTAAGCCTTCCCTCCTCCTCATTTCTTTTACCCTATCAGTGTTGGTGAACCTTTTAGAGATTTCAGTGAAAACAATCAGCCCACTGCAGAACAAGTGCCATAGTTTGCTACTGCTACATCTCTATAATTTCTCAAACTTGAACAGCTTAAGAAGTTGGAGTTTCATATTTGCTGAGGCAAATTTGCTCATTAAACAGTCTGCTGTATTTTACCTTAAGAATAAAACAGAAGTTGTTTGTAAATTTATCTTCCACTTTTTTATTTTTCCACTTTTATTCTTGGCTAAATAAAAAAATGCAGGTTAAAAAAAAGATACTAGCCAAACATGATGGTACACTGTCCATAATCTCAGCATTTGGGAGTCTGAGGCATGAGGATCTTGAGTTCAAGACTAGCTTGAGGCTGGGTACGGTGATGTATACCTGTAATCTCACCACTCAGGAGACTGAGTCAAGAGGACTGCTGCAAATCTGAGGCCAGCCTGTTATATATAAGATGAGTCATTACAAAAGACCAAAAAAAAAAAAAAAAAAAAAAAAAGGGGGATACACACACACACACACACACACACACACTGTATTTATAGAAAAAGAAGAAGACAACATAAACCTTGTATTGGATTAGAATTGAAAAGATTGGGGTAAACTCATTGTTTCCGATAACAGAGATACAAAAATAAGTAGCGATGTAGGCTGGGCACAGTGGCTCACACTTTTTATGCCAGCACTTAAGAGGCTGAAGCAGGAGGATCACCCAGAGTTCCAGGCCAACCTAGGCTGCATAATGAGTTGAAGGCCAGCCTGAACTACATAGCAAGACCCTATCTCAAAACAAAACAAAAAAAACAGAAATATATATATGTGTGTCTATGTCCTTCCTCAGTTCACTAAGAGGGCCTGGAAGTATTAACACCCAATAGTGATGAAAACACCCGCATCTACAGGTTGGTTTTATAATACCAGACTCCACCAAACAAAAAAAGTCCTCAGAAAAAAATGCTAATTCCATTTGGGAGAGAGATGATCCTGCAAAATCTTTTATGCGCCAGAAAGTAGGAAAGCAGTCAATCTAAGCAGAATAAACAACAGTCACAAGTTTTGATGTATTTAATAAAGTAGTTCTTTGAAAGGGGGGAATAACTCACAGCTATTGACATGAATGTATTTACCTTATAGAAAGATTACTTATAAATTCACTGAGTGAAAATCTTAAAAAGATTTGAACAGGAAGTTGCTAAAATGAGTTCATATGGCCAATGAAGAAAACCCTAAACTAAGGCAATGAAATAGAAGAGTGTAGATATAAACTGTTCATAAAGTAGACTTTATAAGGACAGAATTATGACTTAGTTGCTTAAACAAGATATTTAAACTCTCTATGCTTTACCTACATCATCTATGTAAAATGGATTTTTTTTTGGTACCAGGGATCAAACTCAGGATCTTGCACTTGCAAGGTAGGCAGCAGCAATCTCCAGTCCGAATGTAAAACGGATTTAATAAAGTTAACTATTTAAAAGGGCTGCTGAAAGTATTTAGTAGTGAATGTAAAATGTTCCAAAAAGTGGCTGGCATAGACACTGTGAAAGTGTTGACTATGATTAGTATATATGAGTCCTCCAACTATAATTACTACTATTTCTAGTTCTTCTACAATAATATAATGTACTTGGTTATAATTAGATGTGAGAATAAGAGAAAGAAAGAACCCTGAAAATTACTTAACATATTAAGGCCTAGTCTCTCAAATGACAATAATCAACCTCTAACTCTCATATCTTCACAAAAGAAATCCAATTTATATAGTTTAGATCTTTCATGTAAATTATGAGGCAGCTACTTGAATCTGTACCTTCCCATATTATAAATAAGCCACTAGTGCTCTCAGTTATGTGATTTTTAAAGCCATATTCGCCAAACCCCTTTAACCAAAAAAACCCCACAAAACTACAGCATTTATTTGAATAGTGGAATTCTCACCATGTCCAGCCATGCTAGCCTTTGACAGGTGTTCCTCATCAGTGTACCCCTTGACTTTTCTCAGAATACAGACTGCTCAGCTTTCAGGATCCACTGCCACCTCAGAGTGGGCTTCCCCCCAAAAATCTAACAATGTCTTTCCTCTATTTCTCTCTACACATCCAGGGCCAAGGTTTTGAAGTGGTAGAAAAATGTTTTGATGTGGCTATGAGGCTGAAACTTAAAGTCAGACTAAACAAGACTTTCTTTTCAAAAAATGTTCAACTTAACTGTTTTTAGGTGTTTTCTTTTTTTTTTTCCCCTGCTATACTAGGGATTGAACCCAGAACCTCATGTATGCTAGTCAAGCGCTCCACTGCTAAGCTACACTGCCAGCCCAACAGGACTTAAAAAATAAAAAGAAAGAGAAAGCTATGGCTGAAATATTATCTGGCAGGGAAATAAAATACAATAGAACATAGTTAAAAACAATATATATGAAAAAAATTATTTTCTGCTCTAAATAAAATAGTATCCTCAACACTTCTGAACACTACTTGATTATACTATTTTCAACATAACTTTCACTTATAGCAAAATCTATGCAGTGTATTATTTAGTTCTTTAACGTTAGCATTTACCCATCAGAATACCAGCTCCAAAGACTAAGGACCTGATCCTGACATAGTCACCACTGTATCACTGACACTGAGAATAGTATCCAGTAGAGCAGATGCTCAGATATTTAGAGATTGAACAAACTCCAGCTACACAGATCAATTACTCTTGATCACCTGTACGTAATCCATATATTTTATCTGTTTTAATGTGAGTTGTATCCCGCTTTGTTTATAGAGCATATCAGGCATCTATTTACCTGCTATACCATGACAAGAGCCAGATATCTTTTTAGTCCTACAACTGTGCTGAGACCAAAGGCAAATAGCTAATAAAAAGGAAACCTGTCTGTCTTATCTCCCAATGCAAATTTATTTGATTTATTTATTTACTGTTGTTGTTGTTGTTGTTTTTGAGACAGGTTCTCACTATGTAATTGAGACTGACCTGGAACTCACTATATAGACCAGGCTGGTCTTGAACTCACAGTGATCCTCCTGCCTCAGCTTCCCGAGTGCTAGGATTACAGGCGCGTGCCACCATACCTGGCATTCCCAATGCATCTTTAATGGA